AATTCCTCCTCAGCCCCAACCTGACCCTCCCCTGGCACAGCTTGAGGTGTCCAGTGGCACTTGGCCAGCACAGGTCACCTGCCCATGGCACCCTCATCTGTCTGGGATGGAGCTCCTGAGCAGGGCTTGGCTCTCTGTCCATGGGGCTCGGGAGCAGATCCTGCTGGCACTGCAGGTTCCTGGGGGCTGCAGAATCCAGCTGGGAGCACTGGAGGTGGCTGAGGGACACCTGGCTGGGGCTCCCGCGCTGGGAGAGGACGCGCCGTGTCCTCAGGCCTGAAAGGGAGCCTGTCCTTGCCGTGGCAGGAGAACCCCTACCCCGCAGTGACCATGCACAAGGTGCAGAAGCCCACGGAAGGTTGTCACCTGCGGCTCCACCAGAAGCCCTTTCCCCGGCTGGACGAGGGGACGGTGCAGTGGATCATCGACCAGGCCACGGCCAAGCTGCAGACGGCCCCTCCGGCCGTGAAGGCCGAGAAGAAGTGCATGGTGCCCTCAGGGCCCCCCATAGGTACGTGTGGGCACTGGGAGGGATGGAGGGACCCTCCTCAGCCCGTCTGAGGGTCCGTGGCAGAAAACGTGGAGGAGCAGCAGCACCATCCTCCTTAACTCAGAGCACCCTGGGGTCTGTCAGCACCCTGAGGGGGCACACCCCGTGGTCTCTTGGAGCCCAGACCCTGCCCACGGGGAGCAGGGGGGCACCGTGTCCATCCCCCCTGACTGGACTGGCCGGGTTCTCTTCCCAGCTGCCATCCTGGAGCGCAACGGCAACGCCCTGGCCAACAGCGCCCGGCGCCTGGAGGTGGTCAGGAACTGCATCTCCTACGTCTTCGAGAACAAGATGCTGGAGGCCAAAAAGGTGAGGGGGGTCCTGAGGCTGGGGGGAGGAGAGGGGCGGGTTGCTCTCCTCCGTGGCAGGGTGGGGAGGACATTCCCTGCCCGCATCCAGATCTTTGCTGGTCGGCTTATGTTTGTGGAATCGTGGAATCCCATGAGGTTGGAAAAGCCCTCGGAGCCCGTGGAGTCCAACCATCCCCCAGCTCTGCCAAGGCCACCACTGACCCCTGTCCCCAAGTGCCACATGCACAGGGCTTGGAAATCCCTCCAGGGATGGGGACTCCCCCCCACCCTGGGCAGCTGTGCCAGGGCTGGACAGCCCTTTCCATGAAGGAATTTTCCCCAGTATCCAACCTGACCCTCTCCTGGCCCAGCTTGAGGCCGTTTCCCCTTGGCCTGTCCCTTGTTCCCTGGGAGCAGAGCCTGACCCCCACCTCAGTAATAGTATCATGGAGTCACTGAGGTTGGAAAATCCCTCTGGGACCATCGAATCCGACCGTTGCCCAGCACTGCCAAGGCCCCCACTGCCCCATGCCGTGTTCCCCCCTGATCCTGCCCGTGTCCCACAGCTGTTCCCGGCCGTGCTGCGTGCCATGAAGGGCCGGGCCGCCCGCCACTGCCTCACCCAGGAGCTCAACCTGCACGTGCAGCAGAACCGGGCCGTGCTGGACCACCAGCAGTTCGACTTCGTCATCCGCATGATGAACTGCTGCCTGCAGGTGGGACGGGGCTGCCGGGGACCTGCTGCTCCCTCCCGGGAGCGGGGCCGGGCGTGGGAGTGGGGTCCCGGTCCCGGATCCCCCGTCAATCCCCGCTGCCTTCCCCAGGACTGCACGGCCATGGATGAACACGGGATCGCCGCCGCGCTCCTGCCGCTGGTCACTGCCTTCTGCAGGGTGAGCTGGGCCCTGACCCCGCGGCCTCAGAGGCCCTGGAGGTGGCACAGGCCGAGGGTGGAAGGGCAGAGAGCCAGGGGGTTGTCCCGTCAGGGCTTCTCAGAGCACAGATGCTGCCCAGAACCTTCCAGCCCCTCCCAGGCTCCCGGGGTGGCTGGAAAACCTTCGGGAAGGGCGTTGCTCTGGAATGGCAGCTTCACCTGCCTGTCAGGGCGGGCTGGGATGAGGTTCTACCTGCTGTGAAACGGTGGCACTGGGGGCTCTGGGTGGGCGCTGGGCAGGAGAAGAGTTTTCCAGGAATCCTGGAGGAGCTCTGGTGCAGACATTCCCCCTGCCTGCCCGAGGGCCCGGGGCTGTCCCAGCAGGTGGCTGGAGCAGGGATTGCCAGGGAGCAGAGCCTGGCACAGAGGCCACGTTTGTATGGACCTTTTCCACCTTCTCCCTCGGCAGAAACTGAGCCCGGGCATCACCCAGTTCGCCTACAGCTGCGTGCAGGAGCACGTGGTGTGGACCAACATCCAGTTCTGGGAGGCCATGTTCTACTGCGACGTGCAGAACCACATCCGGGCCCTGTACCTGGACAGCAACGAGGAGAACCACGCCGAGGAGGTGAGGAGACCAGGATGGAGCCCTGGGATGATGAGCAGCTCTTCACAGAGGTCTGCGAGCTGATCGTGGAATGGCTTGGGTGGGAAGGGACCTTAAAGCCCCTTCCATCCCATGGACAGGGACACCTTCCACTAGCCCAGGTTGCTCCAAGCCCCATCCAGCCTGGCCTTGGACACTCCCAGGGATCCAGGGGCAGCCACAGCTGCTCTGTGCTAGTTGCCTGTTCCGGGCAACCTGCTCAGATGAGGATCAGGGACCTCATCCTGGTTCTGGGAGATTCCTGTAGGAACAGTGGGGGGTGAAGGCGGGTGGATCTGTCCACGCCAACAACCACCACCTCCTTCCAACCCCCTCAGGAGAGCACGGAGGAGCCCCAGGAAGCCAAATCCGCCCTGGAGATCGCGTCGGAGCAGCTGCGGCTCTGGCCCACCATGAGCCGGGAGAAGCAGCAGGAGCTGATCCAGAAGGAGGAGAGCACGGTGTTCAGCCAGGCCATCCACTACGCCAACCGCATGAGCTACCTGCTCCTGCCCCTGGACACCAGCAAGAACCGCCTGCTCCGCAGCTCCGGCCTGGGCGACGTCGAGAGCGTCAGCAACAGCTTCGTCACCAACAGGTGAGGGGGACACGCTGGGGATGGCAGCTCCTGGGGATGGCAGCTCCTGGGGATGGCAGCT